ACCTTGTTTTCTGGCTTCGAATTTATGAGAAGATGACCTTCTAATAATTGCCATAGCTCAAGTCCCATTTTTTTTTTATATTTTTTGTATAAACTGAAATGGATCTTATCCGTCAAAACACTTGGTAACCCACTTAATTTAGCATGCCAATCCAGATATTTGAGAGTTAATATTTTATCAGACTTGGTTATGTTTCTTTTTATATGATCACAAATCAATTTAAATTAGGTAATAGTTAACATAAATTAGCCCTAAAAAAATATTACAATAGAGCGTAAATAAATATAGAGTTATGCAATACGCTTTTGGCCAAAGTGATCAGACTATACAGTTATCTCAATTTCACACTGTTCACATTTAATAAAATAAGATTTAGCTTTATATTTACCTTTTAAACTTTCCTACTCATCATGCTCTAACTCGTATTTTCTTATTAGTAATTCTATAATAATCAAAATTTTCACTACTAAATTCTCTATATAAATTGGGATATTGATCCAATGTCTTGTTATGAAAATAGATGCGGTCATAAGTTGGCTTAGATTAGGATGCAGATAATACATTTGCCGATGTACTTACTTTTAAAGGATTCACTTGTATCTCAGTCTTATTGGTTTTCAAAGTCACGTGTCTGTTCTAATTTAGAATGGAATCTTCATAACCTACATCATCTGTATTAATAGTTTTTTTAAAAAAATCATTTATAATATCTTAGATCTGATTATCATATAAATTCAAGATAGTGTTTGTGCTACAGCTAATTATTTGGATTCTATTTATTCCTATCACATCAAACAATATATAAATTTTTTTAACTCTAAAGTTATTTTACGTAAGTTTATATCAGTAATATTAGAAAGAAGTTGTTTGATTTTGCTGTATACTAATGTTTTTGCTGATTTGTTATTAACACTATTCTTAGATTTAACATCCCTGACTCAATCCTTATATACTTTATAGTAACAATATCAGCATAAAATCTTCTTACGTCTAAGCTTCATTGCTACTCTAAATAGATTAACTATATTCTATACTGTAACTTCACTAGATTCTATCAGAATTGCTTTTAAAAAAAATTCAGAAGTCTGAATATCAAACATCTTATTAATCTTACCATTACCAACTTCAGTGAAGAATAGCTTCCATCTTAAATCTTGCTTCACTTTTAATTATAAGGAATTTTTTGACACTCTATTTCTGTATTTTTAGAAGCTAGAACCTATTTATTCACCATAGGTGATTTTACTGATAATGTTTTAGCAGATGATTTGTTACTAGAGGTAACTGACTTATAGGTTAGAATCAATTCTTTAACTACCCATTCTGAGATAATTACAAGTTCAGTATTAGACATAGAGAGGTTCTTCTCACAATAAATCAAGTCTAAAGTAATAGAAGATGAATCTTTGACAATCATCTTATCCTAAACTTTCTTTTCTCGTCTACTCTCTTTAATTTTATTACTAATGTTTTTCTTATTTGCCTCAATCAAAAAAGCATCTATTTTCTTTTCTTCTGATGTTTTAATATCATTATTATTTCACTGGTTTGACACAGAGATGAATAAATCAACATCTGATACAGTTTGCTTTACAAACCTCTTTGATATTACTTTTTTATATAGCTGATCATTCACTACCAAGAAACCCTGTTCTACTATCACTAGTCTGGCCTCAAGTTCTATATTTTTTTGCTCTAATTCCTTAACTCTAGCATCACACCTGGTATTTTTCTCAATAATCTGCTTCAGCTTCGCATTTTCAACCTTAATCTTTGCAAACTTCTTAACTGAATTCAGAAATCTCAACTAAGAGCCTTACCTCTCTTAATGAATTAATAGATTGTGCATTTGATATGATTGATAACACTTGTTTAGTATACTAAATATTCAAATTAAATAATAAAGATTACGTATCCATTCTAATTTGAAATGCAGATTACTTTTACCAAGAAAAAAAAATTATTATTACATGCAAAAATAAATACAAAGTTCTGAACTAAGCCTATGATATATATTATTTTTTGATAATTTTTTTGATGTGTTGCTAGTAGCTATATATATTGATAATATCAGATATTTTATCATTTTTTATAGACTCTGATTTCGGGTCTGAGTTGTACTCATCTTCAGATCCAGAGTTCTCTAATTCTGTATTGCCTATAACATAATTATTACCTGCATTAAGATGATTAGATTTTTACCTTAATGTAACTCTTATAAGACATTTAAGATTTTCAGAAGTTATTTTTTTATCACTGTAGACTCTAAAAGCGTGTTTAGCTCCATATTCTCTTAAATCCTTTAGGATAGACTTATAAAGCTTTTACTTTAAGAATTCATTAAATGGTCAAGCATTATGTATTCTATTTTAGTATAGATAGGATTTCGTAACTTTCCTACCTTAATAGTCTCTTAAATCTATGTGAGTAATTCTCTTACACATTCTGAATTTTTTTCAATAGAAAAAAATGGTCAGGGGTCAGGTTTCTCCTTTTTTTCTTCTCTACTTTTTAAATAGTCTATGCAGTACTAAGAATAACCATTTTCATATTATGTCAGGGATTGGATAGGTTAACTTCATAATGATTGATCTGAAGATCTCACTTCTATAGATCTCATATTCAACATTATAATCACATTCACTAGATCTTCTTTAGTTAGAACTTTAAAAATATTCATATTTTGAATCCTTATAAGCATTCTTGCTGATGATAAGTATTTTAGAATTCAGATTTTACCTAAATTAACCATTCACTTTTTAGTTTGTTCTTTTTGAATTTTATTAGAATCTTAATAAGATCCTTATCTTTAACAAATTCTTCAATAATTGCAGGATCTATACCACCTTCTGCTAACTTCACACAGAATGTTGACTGACACAAAATACTGGCAATGATTTTATTTTCATCTTTATTTTTTAGACATAAGTCTAGATAATGGATGAAAATATCCATAGCATTACCAGCTGTAACGCAGAATTTTGTCCTTCTTTCTATGGTAAGATTTTTCTTTCTTTTATCTAACATGAAAGTGTCTATCTTCTCTTTATTAAATAAATGTCTATTATTAGTATTGTTGGTAAGAGCAATTTTAACACACCTGCGAGTTATCTAATCAGAAAGTAAAGCATCAAGTTCAGGAGCATGTTTGCTTAATTATTCTAAGGTGAAGTTAACTGATAAATTATGCTTTTCTAGAAACTGCTCTAAAACCAATATAAAGTTATTAACTTTAAATTTTTAAGTCTTTGGGATAGCCATTTTGGTAGTCATATCAATACTAACTGTTATCTAGTTATATTGTATGAGAAAAAATTCAATTCAAAAAATTTTCTCAGAGCTATACTTTTTTGAAAAGAGAAAATATCAGAGATGATTTTTGAGAAGGTTAAGGGGTGAAAAAAAATGATATAACTTATGCTTTGTCATTAAGATATTTCACAGACCTGCATAATACATTTTTAAACATCTATAATAAAAAATGAAAATAAATTTAATGTATATTAATCTTAAAAACTTTTTCAGAAAGAAGTACTATGCCTTTTGATCACTTTAATGAATACATATCTAATTCAGAAGACTTTATAAATTCTAATTACCCATCTTGATTTTATTTATATAAAAAAAAATAGGTTTATCTATGGGAAAAGATACTTTTGCAAGAACAGGTGTGTCAAACACTATAAGTCTTCACTAGAAAAAATATACGCATCCTATTGTAATAGGCTGACCTTTTTTATAATATATGCCAAATTTATTTATAAGAAAAATTGGCTAGAGAATCGCAAAAAGAGTGAGTAAAATTTATAACTTTGACCAAATACATTAAAGCAAAGAAATTTTAAATATTTATAATAAAAGTGAAAGTGAAGTGTAAGATTATTAATATCAAATTATCTAATATGACTCATTTTATTTAACAATATATCAAGAAAGATGATTCAAATGTGAAAAAGAATGCATAAGTGATTTAGGATATGCCAGACATTATAAAGTTCATCTTAAAATAATATACTCTATCTGTAATGAGCTAACCTATTCTAATACTAGAATCTGTAACATGTATAGCAGATTTTATGACTATATTTGATGTGAAAGTAAAAAAACTCCTTTGATTAAAAATCTTCAGAAGGGAAAGCTTTTTACTGTTTCTTTATCATAGCTTGAAAGATTTTCTGCAAAATGATTAAATTATTTCCTGCAATACCAAAGGTATAAGGGAAGGCTGAAGTATTATTTGTCCTGCCCTATAGAATCAAAGAATTCTTGAATATCGTTATCTGTTTTTGACCTATATAGTAGAAGTTCTGAAATACCTTTATCTTTAAAACCAGTACCGTTATATGGCTGGCGATTAATTTTATATGAATATTCCCAAACTTATTTTTCCCTAAAACCTATTTTTTTCAACTATTTCTAATAGTATAGCCACACTAATTGTCAGTGATTGCATTAATTACTTTTACAACTGATTTAAGATCTGGCTTTTCTTTTGCACAAAACTTTAAACTAAAGAATAATAAATATTAGTTTCGAATTTCTATAAATCTTTTATAAAATTGCATAAATAATTCTGGTGTAGTATTACCAAAAAAAGTACATTTATCATCAATGTTAGTAAAGCCTAGTATTTAAAAAAGTTCTTATATAACTTTCTAACGATTTACTGAATAAGATTTACGCAAATATTTTACTACTGATTTTTTCAAATTTTCTTCAGCTTTATAGCAGGCAATTTTTCATTGTATATTTTCCTTAGCTTTCAATCTCTTCATTGAATTCTCTTCATCATAACCTTACCTTTGAAAATAAGACAACCATAAGAAATGCTTCTGAGCTTTAAACGAACTAAAATTTTTAACGAATTTTCTATTGCAAATATTATTCTAATCATCGATATTCATATATTTACAATAAAGATTCTGCATATAAAAATATTTAAGTGTCATAATATCTCTGATAAAGCGCTTTTAGTTGAATTTAAAGACTTCAGCTTCTTCAAGGCTAAGATTCTGAAAAGTAGCAACTGCATTAAAATCCGTTTCTTTAATAACTAATGCTTTAATTCTAACCTCATTACAGATTCTTTTATAGTTTCCTATAACTTTTCAGCTCTCATTTATTTTTATTAATTGAAGAGAAGTACCAGTACTGGCTATAAGATTACAAAGCTTCTCAATAAAATATTTTGCAAAAAGGCGTTTCTGATGCTCAACTTTAATAAAAATTATTATGGCCAGAGACTCATCAACTTTATAAGAAATGCTATTATTATTTCATTTACAATATCCTTTTATTACTATAAGCAAATTATTAGGTTGAGCACTTTCAAATTCTGCTCAAATATTTTCACGACATGGTGAGTAAAAAAGTTTATTAGAATTTTTCTGATAGAATAAAGAAACAATATGACAGGAGAATTACGAATTTGGTAAAACATTTATGCAAGAGCTTTAATATGAACTGGTATGGCAATATTTGTAATAGTTATAACTATATCAAAGTGGCCTATAATCTCAAAAGATATACCTACTTCCACTGTATTTGTATAAGTCATATAGTCAAGCTCACTCCAAGCGACATTAATATCAGAAAAGTTTTTTTATCTCTATTTTTCATCTATATTTACCTGTTAGAATCCATGTACAGAGGGTGGACAAAAGTTTCCGAACACCCTTATAAATACGATTTAAAAAATTT